CTCGAGACCAATTCGCATTTCTCCCTGAATCTCGGGACCGGGAAGGATGGGATGAAATACGTAGAGCTCGTTTTACAGCGGCAACTGGACCGTGAAGACCAGCCGGAGATTAATTTGCTCCTGACTGCCACCGACGGGGGCTCGCCGCCCAGGACAGGCACGGCTCAGGTCCGGATCGTGGTGATGGATGCCAATGACAACAGTCCCATCTTCACTCGGGAAGTCTACGAGGTACGTCTGGCCGAGAACAGCCCGCCGGAGCAGCTGGTGGTCAGAGTCGTGGCCGAGGATCCCGATGAAGGGACGTTTGGCAAAGTGCGGTATGCCTTCACCCAGACGTCGAAGCGATCTCGACAGCTCTTTCAGATGAACGCTGACACCGGCGAAATATGGATATCGGGCAATCTGGACTTTGAGGAAGAGAAAAAACACGAAATGGTGGTGAGAGGCACCGACGGCGGAGGACTGTCTGCGCATTGCAAAGTGCACGTGGAGGTCCTGGACGTGAACGACAACGTCCCGGAGATAGCGCTCACCTCCATTTCCGCATCCATTCCCGAGGATGCCCCGCCCCGGACCGTGGTGGCTCTATTTAGAGTGCGGGACCGAGACTCCGGGGACAACGGGAGGACGGAATGTGCGATAGACGGGGAGCTGCCCTTCAGTCTCACACCCACTTTCGATAATTACTATGAGCTGCGAACAGAAGCGGCGTTGGACAGGGAGAGGACGCCAGAGTACAACATCACCATCACAGCAGTTGACTGGGGCACGCCGCGGCTGAGCTCTCAGGAAAACATCTCCGTGCAGATATCCGATGTGAACGACAACCCCCCGCAGTTCACGAAGGCCATTTACACGATGTCAGTGAAGGAGAACAACAGCCATATGCTCCGCATTGGCAGCGTGAACGCGACGGACGCTGACGCGGGGAAAAACGCCCGCGTGACCTACGCACTGGTGCCGGAGCAGGGGAAGGAGAAGCCCAACGTGTCAGTCAACTCTGAGAACGGTGAAATTTATATCCTCCGCCCGCTGGACTACGAGAATGTGCACGCCTTCCAAGTGGCCGTGCGCGCCACCGATGGCGGATCCCAGCCGCTCAGTGCCCAGGCCGC